CCCTCCCTCCCTCCCTCCCTCCCTCTGAGGAGAGTGACTGATTAGCTATATTAGATACTGAGCCATGGATGCACAGTGGTTAGAATGCAGTACTGCAAGCTACTTCTGCTGACTGCCGGCTGCCTGCAGTTTGATTCTTACCGGTTCAAGGTTGATTCAACCTTCCATCCTTCTGTGTTTTGTAAAATGAGAACTCGGATCATTGGGGGCAATGTATGTATGTATATATAAAATTCCCATTTTTTATTACAGAATGCACGGAACAATCACTCCCAAAGGAATTACTGGGAGGACTAAAATTAGAAGAAGTTGTAGATCTGAGACTAAAGGAAGTATTGCATATCAGGAAGGAGCAAAAATATTTGGGAGTCCTCTTGGATATGCTCAGGAAGGTTCAGTGCTACTTAAAAGGTATATTTTTAAAAATGACAATCATTTTAAAATCAGTGTTTATAGTTTCTTCTGCAAATTGTTATCTGATACTTCTTTGCCATTATTGTTAATATCCTCCTAAAATAGAGCTTGAATATATGGAAGGCTGAATGGGAAAGCAACTGAAAACGTAAGAGAAATGGAATAATAATGCAGATATGAAAACATAAACTCTTTAGATTGGTGCTCTAAAATAAATCTTTGGGCAGGTTATATCAAATGCTTAAATGAACTGAAAATTAATATGGTCCAATCTATATTTTCCCCTCTTTTTAAAGTGGATTTAACTGAAGTGGAACAAAAGCACAGCAAAAATCTGGCAGAGAAAACTTTGGATGATGTTGTGAAAGTGAGAGGACACACTTCATGCAATGATGATAGAATAGAGACCCATCTCCATTTGAGTGAAAGACTGAAATCTGTATCTGAAGTTTTCTGTGCTTATAATGCTAGCCACATTTTCTCGCATTGCTGGGAGGAAGCAGCCAAGATGCTGAGGGAAAACATGGAGGATTCAGGCACAGAAGAAACTCTAGCTATAGAGGATGTGTTTGATTGCGTATTTGATCCTTGTTTCAAGGAGTTCAAAAGGATTTATGACAGCTTGAAATTGGGAGACCTCACATTTGCTGAAGTGAACGTTCTCTCCAAAGATTTTAAGAATGATTATAAAGAACTCAGAAGTGATTTTAAAATTATGTGCAGACTGCAGCATGGAGATAATGGAGAATGGATAGATGAACGGATCCAGCAGATCCAACAGTACCATGAACTGGGTTTGGCACTGGATTCTGCTAAAGTTATTGACAAAGTCAAGGACGTTTTGAAACTTTCTGGTGATTTCAGTGTCCTGCAACTATTGCTGAACTTAGTAAGTACATCTCTTTAACTTGCCGTTCAAAAGACAGTCCAGTAACTTAAGAAATTTTGCATAGTTTCAGTCTCATCAAATTATAAAAGTGTGGTATAAATAGTGGCTACATATTCTTACTATTGGAACTACTATTGAGCTATTGGAAATTACAAACCTCTGCTGTATTCCTACATTTCCTAAAAGGAGTGATATTTAGGTGGGAGGTCAGTTCTGTGAATCTCTTAACACCAGAGGGACAAAAAGAAAAAAAAAGAAATTTGTGGAACAAAGGGAGGGGAATTTGGGTGTTCTGTGGGCTGCTTGGGGAATCCAAGCATGGGTTAACTTTGTCCATTAGCCTAGAGAATGAGTTATGTAATTGTTGAACACGCCTCCTCTGACTAGGATAGTTCAGTTTTTTAACTCAGTCCAGCCTTAAAGAGACTAGGATAATAGACAAAATTAGCTCATTGGACTCAGATTTTCATTTTATTGTGGAACACAATGTGATTGTGGATTGTTGGAATTTGTTCATGTTTGACATTAAAGACCTTGCGGTTCCTTGTGGTTCTAGCGGCCGAAGGAACGTTCGTCAGGAGGATTGCCTATCAGGTGCTTGAACGGGTCTAATTAATAGAGGGTTGGTTCGCCACTCTCATTCCTGATCAGTGGCCGTGGTGAGAGTCGGTTTGCCGCTCTCAAGTCGGTGCGGGGGTGAACAACCCACTTGTTACCGCCTCCCATCCTCTCTGTTTGCCGCAGAGAGAGGCAGCACGCCATTTTCTCCAGCGGGCGTGTTTATCATACGTCGGATGGCCGTTTCCTAGCATTTCAGAGCCTTGCCTC